GGCGGGGAAATGGTCCCAACGTGTTGTGTTGTGAGGTCTGTACATCCCGATATCGCTGGCATTCCGTTTTGTTGTCCTTGGAGGTAGGGTTGCCAGATACCTTCACAAAAAATCCCGAACTGGCAAAAAAAAAAATTAATTCGGGGTGGGGGACGGAGGAGACCAAACTTGTTAAGCAAAAAAAAAAGAGAGAGAGAGAGAGAAAAGAGTTTGCTGCACCTTTAAATTACTGTGCTCCTCGCTCTCCCCGCCCTCACGGACGCTGGCGGTGTTGTCCTTGGAGGTAGGGTTGCCAGATACCTTCACAAAAAATCCCGAACTGGCAAAAAAAAAAATTAATTCGGGGTGGGGGACGGAGGAGACCAAACTTGTTAAGCAAAAAAAAAAGAGAGAGAGAGAGAGAAAAGAGTTTGCTGCACCTTTAAATTACTGTGCTCCTCGCTCTCCCCGCCCTCACGGACGCTGGCGGCCATCTTTTTGAGGGGGGGAAAAAAAAGGCCACTGCACCTTTAAATTACCACGCTCCTCACTCCCCCTCTGCCCTCGCAGATGCCGGCGGCCATCTTTTTGAGGAAAAAAAAGGCCACTACGCCTTTAAATTACCGCGCTCCTCACTCCGCCACCCTCACAGACGCCGCCGGCCTTTCATCCAAGGAAAACAGAAAATACCAGACATTTTACTTGTCCGGTATTCTCTGTTGTTTTTTTTATCAGATGGAAGGCCAAAATACCGAACTGTCTGGCAAAAACCGGATACCTGGCAACCCTACTTGGAGTTTAACTTTGTTCTCCTCCTTGCGCCTAATGTCATTGAAAAAATAAATGTTATTCCTGGTGCTTTTTTTAAAAATAGGGTCCCAGAGCATCTCGTGAAGAGCATAACGTGGCAGACTCTCCAAGCGGTAAACTTTTGCCACAAACACAACGTAAGTCCCGTAAACACCAGCGCCGTGTGTCGCCGTGTGGCGTTGAAGCGGGTACAGCTCTTGTTACAGTCTCCCCGGTCTGGGATACTTTATGCAGGGGCGTCAAGAAGGCCTCCCCCTCCACCATCTTCAATGTTGCTACAAGCACCTGATTATTTTATTCATTAGTTAGATCCCTGAGGTTCATGGTCAGTGATTTATTGTAATGACTTCAGGTGAGCTTCCTGCCTTAAGAATAGCTTGTAGTGGTGTGTCCTTCTGTGAGAATTGTCACCAAACGCAGCCAGCGCGGCAGAGAACAGACCCGATCGCTAGTAATTCAAGGTCTGATTCTACTGGATTCATTGACACTTTTTCCTGACTGTAGCGGGTGTTGGATCAGGTCCCTACTGAAAAGTTACAAAAGTCACCTGTGCTACAATCTCTAAGGGTGCGTCTGCACGGCAGCGTTATTTCAGAATAATGGCCGTTGATCCAAAAGAACAATGGGAACGTCTGTACAGCAATTCCGTTATTTCGAAATGAATACAAAATAACGGACAGCTTATTCCAACTCCCATAAGGCTCATTTTATGAGGAATAACGCCACTTCCGGAATAGAAGTAGTGTGGACGCTCCAGTGCTCTATTTCGAAATAGCTCCTCCCCAGAGCCATGCAAAGGAATTACTCCCCAGTGCCTCCTGGGGCTCTAAATCGAGGTAGCATGTCCATATTAGAGGGGCCTGCTTTGGACTGATTTTGAGGCTTCCCTGTAGTGTAGACATGCTATTTCAAAATAAGCTGTTTGGGAATATTTCTTCTGGAATAGCTTATTCCGAATAAGCGTGCAGTGTAGACACACCGTAAGGGACCAGCAAACCTGCTGTTCTTTTGGGAGCTGGATCGTAGTTCGAGGCTGAATAAAAATTGTCCCAGGACTCCTGGGCCTTGCTGTGTACGAGGCGGCAGAGGTGGGAGCAGAGGTGGGAGAGTTGCATGTTGGAGAGGGTTCTTTATGCGAATTTAGCGGTTATCAGCTTTGTTTTTATTTATCTGCCGAGATGTAAGAGGGGGAGGGAGACCTCTTTGGAACAAACATTTTGTTTCCACTGGTAGAGTGCGTAAGGCCGAGCTGCGAGAACTTGGCAGCCTGCCTCGTTGGCTTGCCGAGTTTGTTTTGTCTCTTTCTCTCTCTTCCTCCCCCATTAAATTGATGGATTGTGTTTGGTGCCAGTCGGCACCGTGAACCCTGCCCGTGTAAAGAGCTCCGTCAATGTCTATCATGCTGCTCCATTATTTCCCACTGGGCCACTGGAGTCGAATGGGGGTTGTCGGAGCAATGCAGAACTATGCTGCTGAAATTGCGGACATGCATCATGTCTTTGTCCCCAGGGCGGAGTGAAAGGCCGGGTTATGGGAGGGCCCGGTGGGGATGCGTCAAAGAAACTTTTCATTTTCTGTTCGGTTCACAATACCCATCAAGGGTGGTGAGCTCAGTGGTGGGAATGCAGCAGTGTTAACCTGGTCCAGATTGCTCCTGACTCCCTTGTTTCTGTTTCCAGTGCATCCATCGGGACGTGAAGCCGGAAAACATCCTAATCACGAAGCACGCGGTCATTAAACTGTGTGACTTTGGATTTGCTCGCATACTAAGTAAGTGCAGGTAACTTCTTCCGTGTAGCATGCGTGTCCAAAACCTGTAGCATGCGTGTCTGAGACCTGGATTCACATTCTGTTAAAGACGCTCTCTGAGGACCACCATACTTTTTGTTGTTTTTTAAGTTGTGTCTAGAATGCCTTCCTGTGGCAGACTGGCACAAAAAGTGCACGTGCCTGACTTTCCCTGCCTCAGTTTCCCCTCAGTATCACCCATGCCAAAGAATACTCTCTCATGCAGCAAATTCAGACAGTTTTATTCCGCTAGTTACACGATCCACAGAACCCTTGTAGTAAAAGCAGTTCCTGTCAGACCTCCCCCAGCAAAACGAGGCTGCATTAAAGGAGATGCTGATTGGGTAACTGGTTACCTGTTCACACCCCTAGGATGCCCAGATGTACATGAGAACCCTCTTGTGGTGGTTTCCACAGAAAACCTCTTTGGGGCAGAATCTTGTTATCGCGGGAAGCAGCGGTGGATTTAGGGCAGGGCGAGCGGGGCGGCTGCCCCGGGCCCCACGCTTCCCGAGGCCCCGCGCATGCGCCGTGTCAAAGGAGAGCCCCGCAAAATTTCGCTGCCCGGGGCCCCGCGGTGCTGCCCTAGGCCCCACGGCACTCTTATCCGCCCCTGGTGGATTGGACTCAACTCATTGGTAACCAGAGGTGTGTCTAGACTACATGGCTCCATCGACAGAGCCATGTAGTCTAGACCTGTGTTTCCTGATTTTATTTGGCCACAGGACCCTTTTCATCTTAAAATAATTTCAAGGAACCTCTAGGGTTCCCAGAGTAAAATTTGGCAAGCAAAAAAAAAAAAGCCTTGCCAGAATTGGGAGCAAAAAAAAACCCTGCAAAATACTCTGTCTCTTTAAGAGGGGGCGGGGCAATGCTGCGTTCTCGCAGAACCCTTACTTTCGCTTTGCGGAACCCTGGGGTTCCACGGAGCACCAGTTGGGAAACACTGCTCTAGACAAACACTTGAGGTTTGAGAGCTGAGAACTGGCCACAGTGCCCTCTCGGGGGAGTGAGTTTCGGGGAAAAGTCGTTTTGATTAAGTGCAGTGACCCACGTTGGTTTCTGCCGTGGTGCGACTTTCGGGACCGTTCCTGTAGCAATGTCCGGGAGAGATAAGCAACACGCTTGTTACGCTTCCCTTCCTCATTCTGACCCCAGATTTCTATGTATTTCTGTCTTTCCTGACCGTGCTCTAGCTGGACCTAGTGATTATTACACAGACTATGTGGCTACCAGATGGTACCGTTCTCCAGAGCTGCTTGTAGGAGATACTCAATATGGCCCTCCGGTGGACGTCTGGGCAATCGGCTGCGTCTTTGCCGAATTGTTGTCAGGTGTCCCCTTGTGGCCGGGGAAATCGGATGTGGACCAGCTGTACCTGATCAGGAGAACCTTGGGTAAGTGCAGTGAGGCTCAGAGCATTCCTCCCGAATCGTCACGTATTGAGCAATAGTGGAAAGCGGGCAAGAACTGGACCAACATGATTATTATGCAAATCAGACTCTGATTGACATTCGTGTATTAGGAAAATTTCCGATGATCCATTCAGAGCTCAGTTACACTCCGCCTCCCTGAGTGCTGGTTTATTTATTTATCTCATGACCAAAGGGTCACAAGATAGGGCTGTGGTGGCCGAGTGGTGAAGGTGTTGGACTAGAAATCCAATAGAGTCTCCCTGGGCAGATTCACATCCTGCTCACAGTGAGGCCTGTGTCCTTAGGGGGGTTGTGGAATCTCCATCACCGGAGAGATTGAAGAGCCGATTAGACAGACACCTGTCAGGGATGATCTAGACCAGGTTTTCTTAAACTTTTTAAGACCAAGGAACACCAAACAATATTTTTTTTTAATGAGGAACAGCTCATAAAGGAGGAAAGTTATTGAGCAAAAAAAAAAAAAAGTCGCATACCCCTTTAAGAGCAGCCATTTTGAATTCTGTTGTTCTGTTTGCCATGGAACAAAGTTTAAGAAACACTGATCTAGACCAAGCCTACTCAACTTGGAAGCCCTGGGGGCCACAACGATACTCAGCACATGTCAAAGGCCGCAACTTAACTGTGGTTGCATATACGTGCAAATATATATGCAAATAGATTCTTTCACACTGATGGGCATGAATACAAAGATTAGGGTAAGACGACACAACACGCAGGCCCCATTTAAGTCAGTTCTGCTGATACTAATAAAATGCAATAGTTACCTGATTTTTCATCCATATGACAGCACTTTTAAGGAACAATGATATTCCAGGAATTTAACTACTAAAACACATCTCAACGGAAGACCATTATATTGACTCCTTTTTTGTTTTGGCTCCCACCCGCAGGCCGTGTGTTGAGCCCTGCGTAAACCCACACCGCACCGCGAGCCCCATGTTGAGTAACCCTAATCTAGACGGTGCTTGGTCCTGCTGTCAGGGCAGGGGACTGGGCTTGATGACCTCTCGAGGTCCCTTCCCATTCTAGGAATCTGTGATTTCACACGAATGCAGTTGTTTGTTTGGGGCCAAAAAGGAAATGTTATGTCAGAGAACAGCCCTTTGGGCAAACACCCTTCGAAGTCCGGAGCTTTGGCAGGCAAGGGCACTACACAGTCCCAACGGAGTAGACAAAGTAGTTAGTTAGTTATAATATTTTTTGCCCTGGCCATCTATTTAAAACATTCGAGGCAGCTTACAAATTTTTTTTTTAAACACAATAAATAAATAAGTAAATAAACACAAAAGTAAAATACAGGACCCCGGGGGGAGGGGGAATAAAACCTGCTAAAACATCTCAAGAGGAGGGACGCGCGCACGCGCGCGCGCGCGCACACACACACACACACACACACTGAGTACCAAAGCATGGGTAAAATAAGGAGTCAGTATCTTCTCAGGGCTCCTGTATTTTACATCATCTCCAGTCCCCTGCCCTCACGGCAGGACCAAGCACAGACCCCATCTGGAGTTGATGGGGTCTGTCTCTGGTGACGATGGGCCTGATCCTGAGGTGTGTGCTTTCTCCCACCAGGGCCAGCCCACAACATTTTGGCATCTGAGGCAGGGAGCTCAAATGACGCCCTCCTCGCTTGGGCCAAAACTTTGAAAGGTCTCAATTCTCTGGGGCCTAGTGGCGCCCCTCTCCCCTCCCTCCCCACAGTCTGGCACCTGAGGTGGCCGCCTCAGTTTGCCTCATGGTAAGGCCAGCCCTGGCTCCCACTGGATAATAACGTTAGTAGGGTCCCTTTTTGGCTTCGGTGGCCGTTAGGTTTCTCCGGCCGGGCCTGTCCCCGGCGTGTGTTTGCAAGAGCGTAGCTGGTGCTGCCTAGGAGCACCTACAGCCTTGCTCTGAGATTTAAGCTGGCCACCCAGTTGCTAAATCATTCTAGGACCCTTCCGTGGGCTGAGGGATACAGAAGTGCTGGTGGTTTTTAATGAGCTGAGTGACTAGAGGAAAAACCCGCCATGGTTCCTCCAGCTTAGGAGGCCATTTCTGATTCCGTTGCATTTGTGAGTCTTACGTATTTACCTTCCGGCCATTTTCACGAGACCGAACCTTCCCGGAGCCAGTTCTCACAGGAGGCGAATGTGACGCTCGGCTCTGTGCTCACGGCACGTCTTCGTATACCAGGCTCCCCGCTGGCAGTTGGCCGCACATGGGCACAGGGGTTCACCTGCCTGGAGCCGGCGGCAGGATCTGCACCGTGGAGTGCAACGTTCAGTTAGGGGTTGGGGGACAGACACAGCCGCGTGTGATCTATGTAAAGGACCGACGCTGAAGAGCGCAGGGAGCGCTTCGCAAGCCGTCGGCTGGAGCGTATTTCCTGGAGAACTTGGGCCTGGCTTGGAACAAGCAGAGAAGCGAGTTTCTCGTCGTCTCTGAGCCGTGAGTTTCTCGTCATTCCTTAGCTGACCAGGTGAAAGGTGAGATGAGGCTGATCACTTGCTGTGAATTATTTGCTGAAACCCTACATCTCCCTCCTTCCTCTCCAGTGTCTTGGACCTCGGAGGAGTCCTGCCTGGGCCATTCCCCCCAGGTTTAGAACGATCCTCGTGCTGCTGTATCTGGTCTTCTCCGGGGCGCTGGATGAGACTCACTTTGTTCTAGTCCAGGTGGATTTGCAATCATAGAATCATAGAACTGGAAGGGACCTTGAAAGTCCATCGAGTCCAGCCCTCTGCCCCCACTGCAGGACCAAGCACCGTCTAGATCATCCCTGATAGGTTTCTGTCCAACCTGCTCTTAAATATCTCCAGGGCTGGAGATTCCACAACCTCCCTAGGCAACTTATACCAGTGCTTAGCCATCCTGACCGTTAGGAAGTTGTGCCCATCACCAAGGAATCTGAGCACTGTGGACGTGATTGACAGTCCCTGGGGAGAATTCCCTTTGATGGGTTTTGCTCAGCTCCCTTCACGGTGTTGCTGCAGCTTGATGTTATTTTTGTGTCTGTTCCCAGATTCTCATACTGAACCCTTGAGGGGCATTTACACCAGCCATAACCTTTGTCATCTTCCCAATTCTTTCCTTTTATCCTCGGAGGGCTTTTTTTCTAGAACCCTTTTTACATTTTTTTTAACTTCTCCTGCACCACAAACTTTCTGGAAAACACAAATCTCTCCCCTGGTTTTAGCATCCCAGCTAGACTGCCCGGAGGCTGGAAACGGCCCCAGCTTTGCCCAGCCGTAGCGGTAAATGCCATACCTCTGTGTGAGGTGGGTTTGGCTCATTACAGCAGGGACATTTTGTAAAAGGGTCAGACAATCCCGGGGAAGACGCTGCAAACGGTTAAACTGCCGAGGCTCTCCCAGCTGTTGGTTGCTTAGCGACAGAGGCGTCCTTAGTCAGTTTTGGATTTCGAATGGGGGCTTTAAGAGATCAGCCTTCATGTAAATTATTGGGTGTGGTAGTGGGTTCACAGTGGTTCATCTCAGGGATAATGGGAGGCCATTCTGCCTTGCTATAGGCACCCTTAAAGATGTTAGGTGGCAATTAGCCAACTCTTACTGCATCTGTTTCACGTGGGGGCTAACCCAGGGAATGGATTCTCCATCCTGGGGAAAAAATTGCTTTTTAATAGGTTACGAATCAAGATTCGTATTTCCATACTGGGTAACTTAGAAAGCCATTTAAAAGTCCTTTAATCCTTATTGTAGTTAAAATTCCTGTTACCAGATCCAGATCGACCCATTCTTAGTCCTGGTGTGATCACTCTGGAATACTCTCCCTTACGCGTGAGGGAAAGTTCCTATTTGTTGCGGGGAAGGGGGTTGAGCTCCGATGGATTTCCCTTTGAGCCAGCCTATGGAAAGGAGACGGGTCAAGGAAGTTATTTTCAACGGAGAGCTATTTGATCCAAGCCGTGCGGTTTCAATACTACATTAGTCCTAGATGGGTGGTTTGATTTTTAACATCTAGATCAATCCCGGCTGCTCTTCCGTACGCACGAGGTTTAGGAAGCCGCCTTGGGGAGAGCGTGGCGTTAGCATAGGCCAGCGTCTGCGTTTCAGCCCTTTCCTGCCCAGCGGCGGGCTGCTCGGGGCTGTCCAAGAAGGAAGGTTGCAAATCTAAAATCCTGTATCAATAAGAACGTGACCATCTTCCCTAGTGGGTGCCCCCTACCAGCATTCGGAAAGGAGGGGCCCGTCGTCATAAACCGCATGGGCAACGCCCTGTCTTTGGAAGCGTGGGAACACAGCAGTAATCAGAGCACGGGGCTGGCGTAACCTTCCCTGCCTCCATTGTGAACCAAGCGCGCCCTGCGCCAGCAAAGCCCAAAACAAACAGTAGCTCCTGCCAGTCATTCATCGCTGCCGCAGACTGTTCCATCTCGCTAGATCTGAGCGGGGGGGTTCCTTGTTCATTTGTCTGGCCTGAGAAATGCAGACGCATCTCCCACGTTAGAGTGCCCTGGGCCCCGTAATAACGTCAGGCCAGCCCAGCGGGGCTTTCGGGTCCTCCGCTCATATCTGTTCGTGCAGCACCCTCTAGCGCTCACACTTGGACACACATCTGTATTCAGCCAGAGAATTGTCCTTTAGGATGCTACAGGTTGGGTCTCCCTAGTCCGGCACCCTAGGGACCTGACCCCTCCCAAAGGAGGGATTTTGCTGGACCAGGGGAGGTCAATTCCGGCCCCTCTGCTGCTGGATGCTGGGCTTTCCCGGGATCCGTCAGCAGACCGGGCTGGGCTACCCTCATGGGTGCCAGGTCCCCTCCCCCAGGCTCTGCAGCCACTTCTGGGCTCCGCGGCCAGCCACTGGGCTGCTGGTGCTACCAGGCTCTATGGGGCCCTGATCCCTGCCACTGGCCTCCTGGGGCTCTCTGGTCCAGCAACATCCATGCTCAGATGTGTGTCATTGGCCCTACATTGCTAACAGCTAATGGAGATTCTCTTGCTGGACCATAGATGTTGCTGGATCAGAGAGCCCCTGGACTTTGAGAGGTTCAACCTGTACTAGGCCAAAAATACCAGTATTGGTGCTTAAATGGAGCCGTTTTACTGACATGCCTTTGTTCTCACGCGGTATGCTCCTTACTGTTCTAGGAGGGTGTCTTTTAAGCTGCGGGACTCTCAATTTGCCAGTATTATATGAATTACCAAACTGCGAAGGAAAAAACCCGAACCAGGCGTTAATATTGAGAAAGGCATTGCATGATTGTCACTGCGCGCAAAGCATAGAAATTCAGACCCTTGTGGTAGCCGTGGCTCGAAAAACACAGGCTCCTATAAGTTCAGCTGAAAGAGAATCTCCATTAGTCATTAGCAGTGTAGGATCAAAGACACACATTTGAGCAGTTCTGATTCCATCAGGCAGAGGAGCATGAGCCAGTCACTTCGTTGCAACATAGTGATTGTTTGTAAGGTAGTCAAGACATTTAATCGGTGAAGTCAAGATCGATGATCCGTTTGTAAGTGAACGTTGTATTGTTAGTTCTCTTAATGCCAGGAGATCGATTTTAAAAATCGTCTCTAGTTGCAGCCTCGCTCCAGGATAAGCTAGTAAAATGTGGGCTAATAAAACACGTAATTCCCCTGACTTGGCTTTTTATTCTTGATCCAAGGGGATCTTATTCCCAGGCATCAGCAAGTATTCAGCACCAATCAGTTCTTCAGTGGGGTGCGAATTCCCGATCCGGAGGACAAGGTAAGAGCGCCCTCCCAGTGTGCTTGAGTCCAGCACTGGTCGGCAATTTGCATGCTATGCAAATGAGACGGTTGTGTGTTGGCGAGAGAAATGTTTGTGCTTTGGCTTTCCTGGGGTGTATCCTTCGGCGGTTGTTCATAGAGCTACAAAGAAGCGCTAATGGATGGATACTCAGGGTATTTCCTAGGGATTAATGACCTGGTGGAGGGACGCGAGGGCTGGAGGCGCAGCTAAAAGCTGTGACTCCTGGGCAGCGGGTATTCTGCATGAACAGGGATATGCCAAGGCGGCTGTCGCTATTGGCCACATCGCTATGGGCCACGGCAAATGCCAGATGCAGACACCCAGCAGGCCCCGACCCTACAAACGCTGAAGCACGTGCTTCATGGTAAGTGTGCGCGTCGTGCCGTTCCACCCCGAGCTGGCTCTTGGCAGGAGAGGTCTGCAGGGGCTTGGACCCGGCTCCTTCTCGCTCTTCCCCTGGACTTCAGTCCGTGCTCCCGGCCCCTCCCGCCCGGGGGCCTTGGCGTGGCCCCTCCCAGCAGCCCCATTCCTGCCAGCTGCTGGCCTCCGCCCCCCGGGGCGTCCCCCCCCCCGCCACCCCCTTCCCTGCCAGCGGCTGCCCTCTGCCATGCGGTGTGCATGTTGCCGAGCCAGAGATGCCGCGACGCCTTGGCATGCACATGGGGCAGGGCATGCAGCCACTGCTGCGCTGGCCCACGGGCCCGGGGAGGGAAGCCCGTTTTTGGACCCAGCCCAACCCGCGCTGGGCGCTTGCAGTCTGGTCCCATTGAGCCTGGGTTGCGTTTGCAGAACCCAGAGAGCCCCTTATCAGCTCTGCTTGTGTAGGCGTGTTCCCGCTTGCACTTTGCCCCGTTGGGTGAGCTCTTGCCAGATCCACAGGGAGACTGTTTTGCAGGGACTTTTACCTTGGTCCCGCTGTTTGTTTTTTCCAACGTTCTCGTCCAATTTTCCTTTGATCATTTTTATCTTCCCACCTCTAAACTGACTCCCTCAAACCTCTCTGAACAATCCCTCTCCTGGGAGTTCGCTTGCATGTGATACCTGCCCTGGTTATCTTATTCCACCTTCGTTATTGTTCTACAACCAATACATGTCGTTACTGTCATGTTTCCTCATGGTTTAACCCTCCCAGACCTTAGTGATTTTGTGCTCCTTGTCTTTCATCCTCTGTGAAAGTCCCTTCTGTTTATCTAACGCTGGATATACTGGATTCAGATCAGCATGAGCCTTGGATTGCAGAAAAATGCGAGTGCTGGGAGCAAACAGAACAAGACACAAAGCATTATTTAATAACTGTGTACTCAAGTACCAGTTCAAATGCTGTGGCTTGCAAAACAGACTGAGGCCAGGTTAAATCTAGAGGAGAAAATGTATGCAACGTACGCAACTCCAGCTACGTGAATCGCGTAGCTGGAGTTGAGGTACATTGCATTGATTTTTTTGGGGTGGCCCCGCAATGGGAGTTGGATAGGAGAAACGCTTCCGTCGACTTCTCTTACTCCTTGCGACAGCAAAAAATGCTGTGGCTTGCAAAACAGACTGAGGCCAGGTTAAATCTAGAGGAGAAAATGTATGCAACGTACGCAACTCCAGCTACGTGAATCGCGTAGCTGGAGTTGAGGTACATTGCATTGATTTTTTTGGGGTGGCCCCGCAATGGGAGTTGGATAGGAGAAACGCTTCCGTCGACTTCTCTTACTCCTTGCGACAGCAAAAGGTACCAGCGCCAACAGGGATGATCTCGGCATTAAATTTAGCAGGTCCTTACTAGACCCGCTAAATCAAACCCCGGAGGATTGATCGCCAGCGCGTCAATCCTCCAGTAGGTGGAGCCATGGTCTGAGATGGAAATGTAAAGAGACGAATGCATCATGTGGCACCCTGATATCTGAAACAGTTACTAATATAATTATGCTATATATTTTCCAGGAGCCACTAGAACTGAAATTCCCTAACATTTCATACCCTGCTCTAGGACTAATGAAGGTAAGCGATGGTGAAGCATTGAGTTCACACTTAAACTCTATTTAGCTTATGCAAGAGGAGGAGTTTTCAGGGTTAGCCACCTGTGTACCTGAGGTGGCTGGGGGAATTCTAAGTAGACTCTTTGCCCTGGAACACATGGACTCCAAAGATCCATTTAAAAATCCAGAGCCCACCGATGTTCATTAACTCCAGCTGCTTTTAACATCTGCGTTGTTGTAATGACACAACCCACAAAAATCCCCCCTGTGTGACCCTGGGCTGCGTTGCGTTTTGCTAGGGCTGCCTGCATATGGACCCGGCAGAGCGGCTCACGTGTGAACAGTTACTGCAACACCCGTACTTCGACAGCACGAGAGAAGCCGGAGATTTGGGCAAGGAGCAAGAAAAGGCCACTCGGAAGCCAGCCAGACCTCCTCGTAAGCACGTGCCAGGGGTAAGACTTCCCTCGGGGCATCCCATGGCCTCCGACAGGAGCTGCTTGTCTGTTGTAGCGCCTAGGAGGTGGAATCGGAGATCTTCCACCTGCAGGTCTGGGGAGATGAGGGACCCACATCAGCCCAGAAGGGGGGTGCTGCCTTTTAACCCAGAAGACAGCTCAGTGCCTTGCTAACAAGCCAGCCCGGTGCAGTCTGAGCTGTAGGGCACAATGTCCTTGAGACTCGGGCTGAGCAGCAGACAAGTGTGATTAGACATGAACATGCCTGACCGGAGCGGTGGCGTGGCAGTTCTCGGAACTGGACTAGCTCCTGCTCTCGCTCTGCCGGAAGGGCCTTTTTCACAGCTCGGTGCTCTTGGATGGCAAATCGCTGGGGCAGAAAAATATTCGTTTCTGTGTTTGACCTGCTAAAAGAGCATGTCCTTGCCTATTGGACATGGACTTAGAATCCTAGACTCCTAGGGTGAGAAGAGACCTCAGGAGTCATCAAGTCCAGCCCCCTGCCCAAGGCAGGACCCACCCCAACTAAATCACCCCAGCCAGGGCTTCGTCAAGCCAAGACTTAAAAACCTGTAGGGATGGAGATTCCACCCCCTCCCTAGGGAACCCATCCCAGTGCTTCCCCACCCTCCTAGGGAAATAGTTTTTCCTAATATCCAACCTAGACCTCTCCCACTGCAACTTGAGCCCATTGCTCCTTGTTTTGCCACCTGTCACTACTGAGAACAGCCTCTCTCCATCCTCTTTGGAACCTCCCTTCTGGTAGTTAAAGGCTGCTCTCAAATCCCCCCTCACTCATTACTTCTGTAGACTAAACAAGCCCAAATCCCTCAGCTTCTCCTCATGTGTCACGTGCTCCAGCTCCCTAATGATTGTTGTTGCCCTCTGCTGGACTTTATTCAATGCCTCCTCATCTTTTCTGTAATGGGGGGCCCAGAACTGGATGCAATACTGCAGATGTGGCCTCACCAGTGCTGAATAAAGGGAATAATCACTTCTGTAGATCTGCTGGCAATACTCCTCCTAATGCTCCCTAATATGCCATTAGCCTTCTTGGCTACAAGGGCACCCTGTTGACTCATATTCAGCTTCTCATCCACTATAATCCCCAGGTCCTTTTCTGCCGAACTGCTACTTAGCCAGTCGGTCCCCAGCCTGTAACTATGCTTGGGATTCTTCCGTCCCAGTGCAGGACTCTACACTTGTCCTTGTCAAACCTCATCAGATTTCTTTGGGCCCAATCCTCCAATTCGTCTAGATCACTTTGGACCTTATCCCAACCCTCCAACATATCTACTTCTCCCGCTAGCTTAGTGCAAACTTGCTGAGGGTGCAATCCATCCCCTCGTCCAGGCCGTTCATAAAAATGTTGACCAAAACCAGCCCTAGAACCGACTCCTGCGGCACTCTACTTGAAACCGACCTCCAACCTGACATCGAGCCGTTGCTCACTACCCGTTGAGCCTGACAATCCAGCCAGCTTTCTAGCCATCTTACAGCCCGTTTATCCAATCTGGACTCCCTTAACTTGCTGGCAAGAATACTGTAGGCAACGGTATCAACCACCTTGCTCAAGTCATGGAGCATCCCGTCCACTGCCTTCCCCATGTCCACAGATCCATAGGAGGCAATTAGGTTGGTCAGGCGGGACTTGCCCTTGGTGAATCCATGTTGACTGTTCCTGATCATCTTCCTTGCTTGGCCCGATCTGCACGAGCCAGGCTCTGGGCTTGTTTACTGCAGCTCATCATAGGTCGAAACTAGAGGGCTGCATGCTCATTGGCTTCTCTAGGCCACACTCCTGGCACAACCCACGCTCCCTGCATCCCTCCCCCCTTGGTACCACTCTCCCGTCTCCCTCCATTGCAGGGAGTCCCTGTAACAAGTCCCACCGCCGGACAGGGGCTGCATCCCTCCCTCCTCATACTGATTCTTTTCTTTCTGTCCTACATCATTCAAGGAGTCAGCCTTTTAAACTGCCCTGGCAGAGCCGAGCTGGCGGGGGTGGGGATACTAGCAGTGCAGAGATGGCTGAAGACACTGGCTCTACTAACCAGGCACCAGGGGCTCTGAGTCTCCAGCCCCTTCCCTTTCCTCCTTCCAGTTTCTGGTTTTTACCGGACTCACTGGCATTTACCCCTCGATGCCGAGAGCATTCGCTGACACTTCGGAATGCGCGAGATGTGGCCTGCCCAAGGTCTCGCCGTACATCCGTACACAGAGGGAAATGCCTCCAGCCAAGTGTCAGGATCTTGGCTTTACCGGGCCAATAAAACTCTGCCAGTTTCAGACTCACCTTTTGAGCATTTTTTAAAAATGGGGGTCCTATTACCTGTCCTCTAATACAAAAGCTGATGTAATTGATAGGTTACAAACCACACTTAGTAATTCTTCAATTTCGTATCTGAGTTCCATTAGAACTCTTGGGTGAAGGCCATCTGGCTGTGGGCACTTATTGCTGTTTAATTTATGAGTTTGTTCCAAAACCTCTTCTTCTCACCCCTCAATCTGGGACAGTTCCTCAGCTGTGTCAGCGAAAACGAACGGCTCAGCTGTGGCGGGCTGCCTCACATCTCTTCAAGTTAAAACCAATATACGTAGATGAAACACTGAGGCATTTGTAGATGAAAACAGCCCTGCCCTTTGCCATGTGACTGACTGATAACAGGCAGACTTTTACCTGGCTGTCAAAATAAATGGTTTGCCC